ATAAATTTTTTAAATATAAATGACTATCAAATATGTTTTAGATTTTTTATTTTTTATTACAAAAAAACAAAAACTAGTTTTTTTTTTTTTATAAAAAAATATATATAAAAACAAAAATGTTGCCAAATGTACCATAATATGACAAGTTATATGTTGGCGTGAATCTTTTTACCGAACTCATGTGATTTAAAAAAATAATTTTTAAAATAAGATAATTTTAAAACTATTTCTCGAACTCACATAATTTTTAAAAATATCAATTAAATTGACATTTTTAACTTAAAAACGTCGTAGTGTTTTTAAATTTCATTTATTGGGCTTCATTTGCTTTTCTTTTTTCTTTTTCCGTAAAAAGGCATCAACTTCCATTCTTAAGCTGCAATCCACTCTTCCTTTCAAAACCGCTATCAATGCTTCCATTCTATTTTTAAAAATGGGTTCGTCATCTTTTCTCTTGGGACCCAGAAAGAAATTGGCATGTCACATCAATGTTTTAAAAAAATTATAAAGCTTGTGTATTTGTATACGATCACTTGGTCCGGAAAAAGACATGACTGGGAAAAGAGTTATGTATGATACCACCATCCATATTGTTGGGGTCCAGTCCAGAGAGTCACTTATCACAGGAGTCCATCNGATACCACCATCCATATTGTTGGGGTCCAGTCCAGAGAGTCACTTATCACAGGAGTCCATCACCAATACTAACCAAATTCTGTACCACTAATTCTGTCTTGAAACAAAACGACAATGGGGTCGTCTAACTTCCATCAGTAGAGTAGGCAAACGACGAGAGTGTTATACAACAGGCTGTGAAAATAGATGCCAAATGATGTTCTATGAATGAAAAGAGAAACGATGTCAATAATGGGAGTGAGGTCCCCAACAGGGCCGGTCTTACTAGTGAAGGAAACCAAGCGACAGCTGTAAGTCTCACCAATTAAAAAAGGGGAAAAACAGGAACAGGTTCTCTTATTAAGTCCTATTTGAAAGAAATTCTTTTTTTAATTTTTTTTTTTTGGATAAAAGTTCCCTTTGAATGAAAATGTCGGTAATATCCTTCCACCACAACGTCTGATCATTCAAGTTAAGGAAACCGAAACATCCCTCCCGAATCAGCGCCAAAAACGGTGATCACTCTCCCTCAAAACTCGGACGCCCGATAGAGATTCGTTTAGTTGAATTTTGAAAAAATAATTCCATTAATTTCACAACTCTATATATTTCCAAAATCATTAACTTCAGTCACTGTAAAAATTTGGCATCATGGAGGAGATTGCATAGTCGTCTTCAAAAACTTACGGTTTGAAGCTTTGATCACTAGAATAGTTGATTCACGCTGAAATACTTCATTTGTCGGAATAGCCAAAATGATCTCCTTGATTCACGCCAATCGGTTTCCACTATACTCCAAACGCGGACTTAGGTTTCATCTTCAAACAAAAAGTCATTGATTTCACCCATTTCAAATTTGTAACAAAACAAGATTTTTGGTCACATTTTTTTAATATATTGTCACATTTTTTATGAGTAATTTGTTATATTATTTTTTATGTTGTTACACTATTTTTGAGTAACTTGTTACATTGTCTAATATGTTGTTATATTATTTTTGAATACCTTGTCACGTTGTTTAATATGTTATTACATTATTTTTGAGTAATTTGTCATATTGATTTTTATGTTGTTACATTGTTTTTCATTGTTTTACTACATTGATGTTGGTCATTGTATGTTCAAAACTAAATCTTCTCGAGAAATCTGCAAGTCAAAATCAGCTCTCATTGGCCCTAAATTGCGATAAGTTCTCTATAAAATTTATAGTGAATAAGTCTAATTTAAAGAAAGATTTATGATCAGTTCTCTGTAAAATTCTGATTCAAGAAATCAACAATGACCAAATCAAAAAGAATTCAATTCATAAAAAAAAAAAAAAAATAGACGAAACCAATGCGTCCAGTTGAACAATTTTCGTTGGACTAGAAGAAAAGATGAAACTCTGAAATAGTAAAAAAGAAGCCAAAATCTCGCTATACCAAAAGAAAATTACTGCATGCTATATAAAACGAAAAACTTATTCGAAGAAAACTGAAATGTTGAAGAATAAAAACTTTTGGTTCAAAAGGATAATGCCAAATGACAATGCTTTGTTGTTGTACTCCCAACATGTCTCTTAGAAACTCAAACTTATTTTTAGAGAGTGTTTTGGTAAAAATGTCCGCCACTTAATCTTCGGTCTTGTAATATTTGACTTGAATCTTTTCATCTTCCACGACTTCTCAAATAAAGTGATGTTTGGTTGCAATGTGCGTAGTTCAGATATGATAGACAGGATTCTTTGTTATGGTAATAACTGATTTATTATCACGCAAGATTGGAGTTGCTTCACCCTACTTTTCACAAATATCTTCCATGATTCTTCTCAACCAAATTGCTTGAGAAGTAGCCAATGATGTTGAAATATATTCAGCTTCAATTGATGATTGTGCTACACTTTGTTGCTTCTTTGACATCCATGAAATTACACCGGAACCAAGTGAGAATGTATAGCCCGAAGTGCTCCTCATATCGTCAATGTTTCTGGCTCAATCACTATTGCAAAATTCAAGTAACTTGACATCAACTTTTTTTCCAAACATAATACTAAAATCAAGTGTTCCTTGAATATATCTCAAAACTCTTTGCGCTGCTCCAAAATGAATTTGACTTGATTTGTGCATAAACTGAGATAATAAACTTGTAGCATACACAATGTCCGACCTTGCAGCTACCAAGTACAAAAGACTTACTACCAAGTTTTTATAAAAAAAATGCTTCAACTTTTTTATTTCATCATATTTTAACAACTTTTCATTAACAACCAAAAAGTGTAGTTATCGATTTGCAATTTCTCATTCTAAATTTTTCAAGAAAAGTTTTTGCATACTTCCTTTGGCAAATAAAAATTTCATCTTCTTGTTAATAAATTTTAATTCCCAAGAAGTAATTTAGAAGTCCCAAATCACTTATTTCATATCTTTTCATCATCTCACTTTTAAAATCATCAATCATTTTTTGATCATTCTTGGTAAAAATCAAGTCATCAACAAAAAGTGGCACAATGAGAATACCGGTATTACCTTGCGTTTTGATGTACAAGGTTGACTCACTTTTACTTATTTGAAATCCCTTTGCATTGAAATAGGAATCAATCTCATTATACCATGCTCGAGGTGTTTGTTTCAGCCNTACAAGGTTGACTCACTTTTACTTATTTGAAATCCCTTTGCATTGAAATAGGAATCAATCTCATTATACCATGCTCGAGGTGTTTGTTTCAGCCCGTACAAAACTTTTTTTAGCTTGTACACTTTTCTTTCTTCACCGTTGACCGCAAAGCTTTGAAGTTGCTCTACATAAATTTCTAATTTCAACACACCATTCAAGAACACTGATTTTACATCTAATTGATGAAGAAACCAACCCCTTTGTGCAACAAGAGCAAAAAGAAGTTTTATTGTATCAAGTCAAGTAACCGGAGCAAAAAGTCTATTGGTAATCGACACCAGGTTGTTTTGAATACCCTTTTGCTATAAGTCTTGTTTTATTTTTTTTAATTGAACCATCCAAATTAAGCTTTGTTTTGTAAATCCACTTCACCCCAATGACCTCTTTATTCTTTGGCTTTTTTACCAACTCCCAAATGCTATTTTTCTCAATCTTACAAATTTCATTCTTCCATTGCTTTCTTCCAAGCATCTTCTTTGATTGCTTCTTCAAAACTTTCAGGTTCAACCATACAAAAATTGCATGTAACATACACATCACTAAGACTTTTTATTTTTCTTGAAGTTGAACTTGGAGATAAAATACTTGAACTTGAAGGAATAAAAGGAGATGAAGGAGAGTTGGGTGTTGGAGACATTTGTGGTGGAACTTCAACTTCATTTTCATTTCCATGCTCAAAGCTTCCATAATCTTCATTGCTACAATCACTTGATTTTGAATATTATTTTCTTTCCAATTTCAAGAGTCTTTCTCATTAGAAAGAACATCTCGATAAATAATCATTTTATTTCTCTTCAAACTAAAGAGTCTATAACCCACAAAAATACGTTTTTCACTACTTTCATCAAACTTATACTTCACTTCTTTAGCAACATGTGCAACACAAATGCACCCAAAAACCTTTAAGTGGTTCACCAATGGCTTCCTTCCACAACATGATTCAATTAGAGTTTGATTTTCCAAAACTTTCATTGGACATCTATTCATCAAGTAAACCGCCGAGTACACCTCTTCGGCCCAAAATAATTTAGGTAACACCTTCTCATAAACCATCGCTTTAGACATCTCATTCTATTATTTCTTTCGGCCACTATATTTTGTTGTGGAGTATACTCAATCGTCAATTGCCTTTTCATACCGATGTCTTCACAAAATTTATTAAATTCATTAGAATTGTACTCACCACCTCTATCACTTTTTAACAACTTAATGTAGTATCCACTTTGTCTTTCAACAAACTTTTGAAACTTTTTGAATACTTGAAAAGCTTTGGATTTTTATCTCATAAAATAAATTCAAGTCATTCTTGAAAAATCAACAACAAAGATTATGAAGTATTGTTACCTCCATGAGAAAGTGTTCTTGATGGTCTCCATACATCGATGTGAACAAGCTACAATGGTGATTTGACTCTCCAAACTTTATTTTTTTGAAAATGATTTCGATGATACTTTCCAGGTGCACATCCTTCACAAACTTCTTTAACTTCTTGTATAAATGACAATCCATAAATCATGTTTTTTTGTTATAGGATGTTCAAGCTTTGAAAGTTCAAGTGTCTAAATCTTCTATGCCAAAGCCAAGATTCATTAACAACTTACATCTTCAAAGAAACATTGTTTGAATACCGAAAAAAAGATAGGAAAATTTCTTTTTTTTTTCCATCTCAATTTTCACTATAAATCACTTTTTCTCTATACAATCATAGAACATGCAAGAGTAGTCCTCAAACACCACGGAGTACCCATATTCTGCAAGTTGACCAACACTCAACAAGCTTTGTTCCAAGTCCGATATTAGCAAAACATCTTGGATGTATCTTGTTCCTTTCTTTGTTTCAATAACAATGATTCCCTTGCCTTTTGCTTGAACCATGACACCATTTTTCATCCTTACTTGAAAATTAGAAGTGAAGTCTATGTTCACAAAAATATTATCATCACCAGTCATATAATTACTACAATCACTATCAAGATTGATGAGACCAAAGGTAACTGGGTCAGATCCAATTAATTGAGTAAGTCCAAATTAGCTACAAAGTAGGTTCAGCCCAACTCATGGGTTCGGCCCAGTCCAAGATTCAAAGAGTCCAGAAGGATTAACGAATGTGGGGAACAATCGTCAAGATAGTCACTCTCCAAGATCGAGACTATTTTTAATTGTACCTATCCTAATTGTATTTATCCTCTCTGAAGGATTAGTGTAAAACCCGATAAATTTAAACTTTTGTAAACAATGGCAACATGGTAATTTGTCACTACGATACGGGTTGTAAACTTGAATTTTTCTAGGTCTCGGATGATGAAACAGACCTCACCGTTAGATTCGTCTCGTGATATCTAGTTATCCTGTCAAATTTCATCGAATTCTGAGATAATCAAATTTTTCGCGTTTCATGAGGCAATCGAGTCTCGGGTGACCCAAAAACGAAATTTTTAATAAAATTTCAAAATTTAAAAAATAATTTCAAACAAATTAAAATAAAAATAATTTGAACTTAAACCGGGATAAAATTTAATTTGACCTGGGAAAAGAGGACTGTGTGACACGTTGTAGGCCAAGTATTCTAAGAGTATAAATAGGGGGAAAAATCAGATTTTTGCCTTCAACATTGAGAGAAAGAGAGGCAAAGTGAGGAAAGACTCCACCTTTTCTCTACGATCTAAGAAGTTTGAGTGCTCAAATCCACTCGGGCCAAGAGTTATAGTCGGTCTCTTCGTCAAGGGCTACGCCTACGTACCAAAAACGAGGATTTTCACAGAAGGTTGAAAACAGAATTTTTGGGAGGAGAAGATTCTAGTTAGAAGTGGGTTCTTGGGACTTCCTACAGTTGTTATTTACGCTTCAAGAGGTAGGGTTCCTTCTTACTTGAGTTTATTTTACAACCTAGGGTGTTGTATGTAATGGGTGGGTGTATAGATATATACATCACTTGCCTATGGATGAAAATTGATGAAATGAGTATGAAAAAAGGTTTAACAAATGAATTCCTAGCTTGGAATTGATATATGTGGTGATTGTGTGTGTAATTTCATGGAATTTTGTACCTTGGGTTTATGTGAATTTGCCTTAAAATGATTCATGAACAATTCGTATTATGTGGGCATGCCATGTGTTGAATTTATGCTTTAAAAATTAAGTGTGTTATTGGTATAAAAGAAATAACATGTTTATGAATTGGGTTGGATATGAACATGTTGATATATGTTTTTTTTTTATAATATATTAACATTGAGATGAAATTTGGCTATTATATGCTTATGATATAAATGACCATGAAATTATGAAAATATATATGTTAAAGTTGCTCATATGACATTCATTACATGTGGGCATGACAATTGAAATAACAATGGTGTATTTCTTTGTATATGCACGGAGACATCACATGTATGAATGTGTGTGTGTATGATTGTTTGTCAACACTACGCTCAGTGGATTACTGGTAGGCTCGAGTAAGCTTGATCGAAGACTTGACTGAGTCTCACAGATTACATGGTGATTAGGGTTGGGGTTAGCAAGAAGAGCTAGAAGATCTCTCGGGTGCAAGGCTCGATGATGGGATACGTACTCCCTTGGTACAGTCCATGAAGTGTGTGGGTGTACGCGAAACCCTCGGTAGAAGTCCATAAATTTCGTGTGAGTTGGGTGACCCTTGGTGTGAATCCATAAACATCCACCCCTATAAAGACCCTAAAAAACTTTTATAACGTTCATTGGATGAGTGATACCAATGGCGAGAATTGGAAAACTCGGTCATAATACTCATGACATTGCATGGGGAAAAAGAGCCGGTGAGGGCTCAGGTTGAGTTGTATGAGTGGGTATTATCTCATATCATAGCACGATATGTTAAATTCCAACATAGATTGATTAGTCTTGATTGGAACAATGGTTGTTTATGAAATGTTGCATGTGAACATTGCATATGCACTTAGGTTGGAAGTAGCCTCTGTAGAAAGTATTCTACTGGGCGTTGGCTCACCCTATACGGGAAACATTTCAGGTGCGAGATATACTCCGGTGGACGGCTCGCATTCGGGGTCTCTTGGGTGAAGAAAAACTGGGTTGTGGCTTTTGAATACAAGTTTAGTGTAAAACTTTTGTTAAAATTTCATTTTGACATGTAACCGTGTAAATGGTTTGTAATAGAACTTGTAAATATCAAGTTTTATGTGAATAACATCATTATGTATGTTTGAGATGATGTTAGAATGGTTAAAATTGGATTTGAAATATAAAACAAGTGAAACAGGAAAAATGGGCACAACATACCAGTACGGCAAGGTCCAGAAGACAAACCGTACCGGTACGGTGAGGTCCAGTGAGCAAACCTGTACTGATACGCATACCGGTACACTTTGACAGATGTTGAAATGTTGTTAAAATCTTTGTTCTAGGCCTTTGGGCTATGCATCCTTTAGTTCCTATGATGTAAGTGGACTATCATGGAGGATGAAATGTGGTACATTGAGCCACGGTTAGATACAATGATATAGGTACACGGGTTTCACGTGTGAGTTAAAATCACGGTAAATGGAAAACTATTGACGTGGTGTCGGATCATGCAACATTCACGGACATTTTCGCGGGTTGACAGGTGGTCAACGGGACCCTCGATTTTAGGGGTGTTACATTAGCCACCTTTCCCATCATGCCACCGCTTCAACCAAGACTCTATGCCTTTAAATTGTAAGCTCTCTTCACATGAGAAGAGCACATCTCTCGACACACCCCTACACAAGCTATCCCTCTCATAATTACCCAACCTCTTTTAGAGCCACCGTAACCGTCTTCGAAGTGGAGTAGATCGCCTTAACCGAACCACTATATATCTGTGTGTTGATCCATTCTGTCTCCTCCATTAATTGTCTTATTAATTGTTTCATTAATTATTCTGCATCATACACTCGACTATTGATTGTGCATAAACCTATTTTGTGCATCATCAAAGATACCACACATCGTTCCTTTGTTTGGATGTTGCTTGACAAGCATAGAATGTGTTTCTACTACTTTCTTGTTCTTTAGAAAAATTAGCTTGTTGATTTTTTTTGAACCGGCAATCTTTTTACAAATGACCAAACTTTTTACAATTAAAATATTGAGGTTTTCTACGAAACCAACAATCTTTATCAACATGACTTGATCTTTTGCAAATTCTACATTTTTGTTGAATTGATTCTTTATTTGATCTTCCTTCAAAATTTCCTCTTCCTCTTGAGTTTCTTCCTCATCCTCTTCCTCTTCTAAAAGATGCACCTTTAGATTGATTGAAACTCGACAATTCATGACTTTTGAAATCAACATTAAGCTTGGATTGAAAAATATTCTCAACAGATTTTTCGGCGTGCCTACTCAACCTTTAATCAAATGTTTTAATAGAACCCAATAAATCTTAAACACCCAAAAAAGAAATATCTTTGGTTTCTTCAATGACAGACGAGTAATGTTACATGGATTTAAAAATTAGACCTGCTAATCACAACCAATGAATAGGTAATGAGTCCTAATAAATGTTGGAACTCACAGTGAAATCAATTGTTGTAATTATCAAGTTTAGTTTTTAAGTTCATGTAGCATTACTCATGACAACAACAATATAATCATATTTTTTTGGCAAACTAATCAAAATTTCTCAACAATTCTTGAGACTAAAATTTGGTCTCCATAAGTTTTCCTTTGATTTACAATCTTCATAAGTCTAGAGAAGAAATCATTTAAGGATTCATTCTCTTTCATTTTATTATTCTCAAAATCTTTTCTCAAGGATTATAGTTTCACGGTTCTTAGCTTCATAGTACCACGATACTCATCTTGTAAAGTGTCCAATGCTACATTTGATTTTGTAGCATTGATAATTCTTGGAAAAATGATATTCGTTACTCTTTGTTGAATCAAGTGAAGAGCCTTTGTATCCTTCTTCTTGTTTTCCTTTAATTGGTTCCTTTGAGCCGTTGTCATCTCTTCGATTGAATCTTCGCATCCAATTTCAATCAAATTTCAAAGATCATAAGAGAGAAATATAGTTTTCATCTTCACACACCAATAATCATAATTTTCACCATCAAAGACAGGAAAAGATGATTGTTGTGCACCGGTAGAAATGTTGATTCCACTTATCATTCGATTTTCTTCACTAAAACTTTGTTTATCTAATAAAAAGTTTCACCTCCAACTAGTTAGTGTCGAACTAGCTTTGATATCACTTATGTTGGCTATAATTTTAACTTTTGTATATTTTTAACAGATAAAATAAAGACAATGTAAATTAATCTTTTGAAATAATTTTTCATACATGTATTTTATATATTTAACATACATATAGGTTGCAAGATAAATATTGACCACTCACTTTCCAACATTAACCACATAACAAGGCCTATGACTCAACCACTTGTATTCTCAAATCAATTAGATACACTTAACAATCAAATATTATCTAATATTCTATTTTTAACGATGTACAGGTTTTTGTGCAACGTGCATAAAGCATGGTGAACACCTCTTGACTGACACTCAGAAGAAATAAGGAAAAGAATTAAGTGCACTCCGAAGTCGGAGTTCATGGATTGATTCAATTCCCTCAAGTTGTTTCCCTGGCGTATTGGACTCTAGTATACGTTCTCCTCCTCGGAATTGATCTTTGAACTCGTTCTGCGGAAACACATGAATGTGAAAGCGAGCAGAATGATAGCCATTGGGGGGGTCTTCCGCCAGCCCTTCAGCATATTTCAGTGGCATATGAGAGATTTGCACAAGCTTCAAATGCTGAAGGTAGTCAAGGTCTCGCACAGCACCCCCTTCGCGTGTTGGCTTTAATCTGGGACAATAACCAACTAAAAAATTTTCAAGATTTTCCATTGCGCCTTTCTCTATTTCAAACACCTCAAGCATTCTCATACGCTGAATGGATAGTTTCTTCAAATTAGGAAACCATCCCGTGCAGCATTTCATTTCCTTTTCACGATAGGCATTTGATAGACAGAGAACAATGAGGTTGTTGAGATTGTGTAGGCATTGGAATGGGTCATCATTCGACATGTTATCCCACAAATATAGCCGAGTGAGAGAGCCAAAGCAGTGGACTACATGAGCCAATGACACTATGCATCCTCCAACCTTCAGAGTCTCGAGGGAGCCATTCTTTATTAGAGTGTCCATGTTGAGTTCTTCAACTCCGTGAGTTTTGATTGCCAAGGAATGGAGGAGCTTCATGTTGTTGATGGCATCACACAAGTTGGAGGATTGAAAACCTTTAACGCGACCAATTGATAATTTCCGGAGACGAATCCATTTTGGAAGTGTTTCCAGCAAAGGATTGGTGGATTTCACTCCTGCAAGGGTTTGCAGGTTGGGAGCTTCGAGTTTCTTTGTCAACTGCATATCCACCACCTTTCTCATAAAGGACTTTGCAAGATGAAGATGTCTGAACTTATCATGCCTCATCATGGAAACTGGTAAGCTGGTCACCTTTGTGTCTCTGATATCTAGACACTGTAAATTGGTTAATCTGGATAGCGACTGTGGGAGCTTTTTAATTTTTGTACTCCTTAACCCCAAATAACGTAAATGGACTATATCGCCCAATTGATCTGGGAGCTCTTCGATGAATTCTGCATCTGTGAAGTCTAACACCCTCAATAGTTGGCAACCCCAAATCAGCAATGGAAAGATTTTAGGGCGCTCAGTCTTTTTTTTCTGTTGGTGGATCATCTCAGACTTCTCTTGTATTTCTGCAGTTGGCTCAGAGTTCTCGCTTTCAGGGTTCTTCCCAGACTTCTGCTGGGATTGGGAAACGAAGCAAGAGCGTACAAAGGCAATATCCTTCTGGCTGATGGAGTCAATAGTGGTGTTGCTGGAGTTGCCTGTGAAACTAACGACGTTGTCAGTGATCCATAAGGGACGAGTATACTTTCGGGGTTTGGGAACAATATGGGGAGCAAGCTCTCTCAATTTGTCTTTGATCCTGTAAGTTCTAGGTTTTCCAGGGATGTCTCTCCTCACAATTAGCTCACAGTAAACCAGCTGGTCCAAGCAATCTGCTGCAGCTACTTCTGCTATGGTGTTTTCTGTGTCCTCCACTAAGCCTTCAGCCACACACAGCCGTATTAACTTCTTCTCTGGTATTTCAGGACCTCTTAGGTAAAAGCAACAGTACAACAATATATATTTTAGCGGAAAACATAGTGCATTATAACAGAGCATCAGAATAGCATTATTACTGATGTTATGATCAGCAGGATGGGTTTGAGTTTCAGTGGTGGCAGTAGGAAGGAAGGATTTCTTTACTAAATTTGCACGAAGCATAGACCCGACAGAAGAGTGCATCCCCTGATTTGCAAGTTGAGTGGCAATTGTGACGATGGGAAGGGGTACTCCATGACAGTCTCTCACGATGGCTTCGGCGATCTTCAGAGACTCGGGACATCCCCATGGATGATTGTACTTGGGGTGTTTAGATACAGTCTCACGGAACAGTTTCCAAGCATCCTCATGTTTTAGTTTATCAACCTCAAGGCAAGTGGGGGTGATGTCGCATTTGAATGCCTTGGCTGATTCGATGTTGTGAGTGATGAAAATTACCTTCCCACTGTTAGGGAAAGCTTGGGAAAACAAGTCCCATGCTTCTTTGACATCTGGTACGTCATCTACAATGAGTATGGAGCTTTCTAACAAACTTAACTTACATTTCAAATGCTCTTGCAACCCTGTTACTTCCATATGTTCCCGAGCGTAAGTTGGAAGTAGTACATAAGTGCAATCCATCAAAATGACATTCTCGTAAAGATTGGCCAGAATATCTTTCTTCTCCAGGGAAGAATCGTAGGAGATCCAAAAAGCAGCAGAACTAGTTTGTTTCACCTTATTGAACGCCTTTTGGACGAGGAAGGTTTTCCCTACACCTGCCATCCCAGTAACCAACATAAGGGCGGGGAAGTCTTCATTTCTTTTGTCCGTAAGGAATTGTACCAGCTCCTCCTCTATCTTTTCCCTTGTTGTACTGCTGCAGTTAGCAGGATAGCTTTTACCCTTATCTTGTCCCTCTACTCCCTTGTTTTCTTGGGGGAAATCCACTTGAATGTCATTACCGTTGTTGTTATTATCAACCCCGGCCACTGGGGCAGCTGACGAGTGTTCTGCTTGTGACTCTGAGACATGATGCCTGGATTTTCTTCCTCCATTCTGCAATTCCCGAATGACTGTCAAGTGCTTCTTAATAGTGCGACAATTGGCTACTGCAGTGCAAGGCAGCATCCAAAAAAGCTTCGGGGTAGCGTTGATGTTGTTGGACTGGTGTACTGTCATGATCTGGTCAACTTCATCTTCAATATTGCTGATGACATCCTTTGAGGTACTCATCCATAACACTTCTTGTTGAAAACTTTGGTCAGTTAAAGTAGTTTGATCATCGAACAGCCTAGCATGGTTTCTTTCTACTTCTGCAAAGTTAGTTAAGAGATGCTGGATTTCACCCTTCAGTGCCTTCAATTCCTTTCGCAATTTTGAGCTACAACTTTTGGTTTCGATGTATCCCTTCAATTTCCGCAACAAAAGGGAGGCAGCACCAGCGGCTTCCCCTATTACAACGCCTGATGCTTCCTTTGCTTGTTCCATTAATATTGTTCCATCAATTGATCCCCACAAGAATCAAGTGTGAGCCAAAGCCAGTGATCGGAGGCCACTGCCTCTTCTGTGACCAAGTTGACAAGTGTGTTATATGAAAGGGAAAGGTTTCATCATGAAAAGCATAGCAGGATGTGGAAAATTAAGTCTTATCATATGGAGTGGAGCATACACATATTCAGTTCAGGTGAAACAAAAAATTTTATACTAAATTCTTTCGCACAGCCCACCGGGTATTATCATTGAGTTTGCTCAAAGGTAGGCTCAGCAAGATGAGGTGTCCTTTCGATCCTGTTGGGTTCATATTACTTTGTATTAAATCAATGGGTATAATTCATTCACACCAATTGAAAAATGGCTTAATTATGGAGACACCCCCTATCATTTCTGAAATATCACTGTCACACCTGTCAGATTTTGTCTTTACACAAAAAAGTAAATGACATTACTACCCCTAATAGAATATTCCTTTCTTTTGTCCTATACTTATTACTTATTTTCACCTTAGATGAAATTCTTATTTGACCAATATTAAAATAATTTAATTATAGTTAAATAACTCATTTTTTTATACACACACACACAAATATATATTATATAATAAAAATAATAAAACAATAATTAGATGTTTTAAGAGTTACCAATTATTAATCCTTATTTATATTGGTTGTTACACACACCCCTCAAGTTGACTTTTTTCACCAAATTAACATTCAATTTCATCAAATTAATAGTAATTGACCTTCAATTTTATCAAACTAATATTAATTTCATCACACTAACACTAACTTTATTAATTTAACAATAACATTAATATTTAATTCCACCAAATTAATTTAAAATTTTAATTTAGTCAAATTAAATTCAAATTAAGATTCAATTTAATCCCACTAACGTTGAATTTCATCAAATTAACGCTAAATTTCATGAATTTTACATTTGATTTCATGAGATAAACATTAATTTTATTAATTTAATACTAAATCAAAATTTTAACTTTTTCAATTTGATACTACATTAACATTCAAGGGGTGAAATTTTGCGTTGTATTAGGTGATGGTGAACAATAAAATTTTTCCTAGCTTATAAATTGGACCAACATGTTACTGTGTATACATGTACATGCGTGCATAACGTGTGCACGTGAGATAATTAGTATATGAGATATGAAAATAAAATTGTAAGACATGAAAGTTGTTTGATTTTAGGACTAGTTTTTGTTTGATAAAAAAATAAGGATGTTTGGCTATAAGATATATATGTAAAGTATAAAATTGTCAATTTAAAAAGAATTTTGGCTGACGTCATCAATTTTTGGATGTGTCAGATATGTCCCTAACTAAAAGGATAGTTAAAGATGACAATAGACCAAAGCGGGAGCGAACAGTGTAGTCTCTGTTCTTGTACCCGCTTAAAACAATTTCGTTCATCCCCATTAATGGGTATAATCTTTATTTTCATTCCNTAATAAAACAATAATTAGATGTTTTAAGAGTTACCAATTATTAATCCTTATTTATATTGGTTGTTACACACACCCCTCAAGTTGACTTTTTTCACCAAATTAACATTCAATTTCATCAAATTAATAGTAATTGACCTTCAATTTTATCAAACTAATATTAATTTCATCACACTAACACTAACTTTATTAATTTAACAATAACATTAATATTTAATTCCACCAAATTAATTTAAAATTTTAATTTAGTCAAATTAAATTCAAATTAAGATTCAATTTAATCCCACTAACGTTGAATTTCATCAAATTAACGCTAAATTTCATGAATTTTACATTTGATTTCATGAGATAAACATTAATTTTATTAATTTAATACTAAATCAAAATTTTAACTTTTTCAATTTGATACTACATTAACATTCAAGGGGTGAAATTTTGCGTTGTATTAGGTGATGGTGAACAATAAAATTTTTCCTAGCTTATAAATTGGACCAACATGTTACTGTGTATACATGTACATGCGTGCATAACGTGTGCACGTGAGATAATTAGTATATGAGATATGAAAATAAAATTGTAAGACATGAAAGTTGTTTGATTTTAGGACTAGTTTTTGTTTGATAAAAAAATAAGGATGTTTGGCTATAAGATATATATGTAAAGTATAAAATTGTCAATTTAAAAAGAATTTTGGCTGACGTCATCAATTTTTGGATGTGTCAGATATGTCCCTAACTAAAAGGATAGTTAAAGATGACAATAGACCAAAGCGGGAGCGAACAGTGTAGTCTCTGTTCTTGTACCCGCTTAAAACAATTTCGTTCATCCCCATTAATGGGTATAATCTTTATTTTCATTCCCGTCTGCAAGTAAATTTGTAATCCCCGCCCCCGTCCTGTCCCCTACCTTCACCTCCGCCCCCACCCCCACCCCCATCCACCTTATACGCCCAAGCCCAAGCCCAAGCCCAAGCCAACATAATTCAAAATTCTAAATAAATCTAACATTCTAAATAATCCAACATAATTATAGAATATCATAATATAATTAAAAATTTGTTATTTATAACATAATATAATTAAAACCTTGTCTACAACATAATATACTAAGAAGTTTGTCTTCCTTATAAATTCAACACAATATCATGCAACACAACATAATATAATATAACATAATCCAACATAAAAAAATATAAAAACACAAAAAATCTACACTTTTACAAGCTAAAACCACGAAAAAAAATCAAAAAATAAAATAACTTTCGAAAAAAAATATATTTAATAATATATAAATTTGTATTTACAGCAACAAGTGTGTGTGTGTGTATATATATAACAGGTAAAGCAGGGCGGGGCGGGGCGGGGGGGGGA